TAGCTTGATTTCTCTCAATCATTTAACATGGTTGACTATTCCCTTCATCTTAGAAATCTTTTATTTTTCCTTTGGTTTCTGGGACACTATTCTTTCTTGGTTTGCCTTCTTCCTCTTTGATTGCTTCTACTCTAACTCCTTTGCAGGTTTGTCCATAAATGCAGTGTTCCCCAGGGGTCTATTATCAAMCCATCTTTTTCTTCTGAGGTGATCTCATTTCTTTCTCCATCACCACTAGTCACCTTGTTTTCAATTTTTCCCATATGGCCATTACAACTTGTCTTAATTTGGGTTTCCTGAGCAGATCCTAAGACAGGGATTTAAATGTMAGAAGTTTGTTTTGGAGGTGATGTCAGGAAATGCCGCTATAGGAGTAGGAAAGTGAAACAGGGAAGAGGGGAACCAATWAAGTGAACATTCTCAAGCAAGATTTCACAAGGGGTAAAAGAGCTTATTTCTGTTGGGGAACTCCAGGAAACAGTCTAGAGTTATCTCATTCAAGGGACAAAATGAACTGGAGCATTTATACAAAATTCCTCAGTTGTTGGTTGAGGATCACTCTTAGGGTACATTGATATATTAGTGATTCCAGTCTGTCATCAACACAGACAGAGCAGCCCATGAGGACAGATTGTGGCAATGAAAATGATAGGGGCCAAAAGAACATGGGTGGGACACAGACAGCATCTGCTTTGTTCTAAATCTCTATTTCTGGTACAGATACTCTGTTTTACCCTAGATCTATACATCCAACTGCCTAGATAAATTGCCTATTGGAACCTTCCCCTATCACCCTTATCTTTTTAATCCCTGATCACAAAACTGACATCACCATCCTTGCAGTGCTCAAATAAGACACCTACCTCTCCCACCCGTCCCACCTGGGCGAAGGAAAGGGTTTCCCTCTGGAGGGATGGGCTGACTAAGAAACAAAAGCTAAGAAAATAGTACTGCAAAATAACCACAGAGCTGGTTTTCAGAGCTGGGGCAGTGACCAGCCAACCTGACCAGACTGGTGCAGCTTCTAACAAAGAAGCCAGAACCTGGATTATTTATATCAGAACAGATCAAAAGGATTGGATAGAAATTTCTCCTCAAAAACAGGATAGAGGTGGGGACAGGTAGGCTACTCAATTCTTAACAAGTCATGCCCATCTTCCCGTGTTGTGCAGAACCTTTTGGCAGAGCTGAGTGGGAGTTCACAATGTACTGGGCCATCTCAAAACCAGCAGGGTTGCTGGTAGGAGTTCCCAAATACCAGATCTTCCCATTCAATAGCTTCAATGCTGATCTGGACCATGCACATTTCACAGTGGCTTCCCGCACCTACCAGTCATTTCTGACTTACTAATTCTTCTAATTCCTACCTCCCATGACACTGTCCTACTTCAGGTCTTATTCTTATTTTGCCCTAAACCATTGTAATAATCTCCTAATTGGTATTTCCATCTCTATTCTATTCACACTATATACCATGTAATCATCTTGTGTTAAGTCTTCCAAAATCCTCACAAGGACCTCTCCATTACCTAAATTCAATATTTTAAATCTTTATTTGAACATAATATCTGATCCCCCTCTTAATCTCCAAGTTCTCCTTCTTCACTCCTCTAAATCCCATGTGCCTTCCTACAGACATGTGTTCACAATTCTGCACACATGTTAGAGTCTTATTTTTGCAAATGTGTTTTCTTCTGCYATGTTTGTCCTTCTCCACCTTACCTACCTAGCTACTCCTACTCATGTCAAATATCACTTTCTTTGCCATGTTTTTCCATACCTTTCAGAAAGAGAAATACCGCTGAGGCTATGCTTCTGTTGCACTAATAATTACATAGCAATGGTGACATATTTGGTGGATTAATAGAAAAGGTATCTGTAATAATAGCATAACTTCTTAACCTGAAAGTAAAGAACATATCAGAAGCAATGCTAAAAGACAGATATCTGATGAGGAATAAACATATAGTTATTTATAATCATGCTCAACATTAGACATAAAAACAAAAGCCTTTCTTAAGAGGTCCTTCATTCAAGGAGACTGAGTAATCAAAAACTTAGTTCTGAGAATCTACCACAATTGCTTAAGTAAGACTTTTTATACCAGATTTAGATGATGATGATGATGATGATGATGATGATACAGATAAGAGTGTTTCAGTAAACTATCTATCCAAATATATCATAGATCAATTTACCATTAACAAATATAATCTAATCTGATTAACACTCTTACCCTTTATCTCTTTTAGGTTACTTTGATGCTTTTTTATTTCTGCCACTCTAGGATCTCAGCACCCCTATTGAGACCAAGAATTCCATTTCAAGGATGGCATCTCCTACCTTGATCCATAACCTTCAGAGAACAGCCACTAGAACACTTTTCAAGAAAATCTGATGCTATAATCCCAAAGCATCTCTTTGTACTAGAACAAAGGGCATTCCTCTGGGACTTCACGAAGAAAGCTGTTACAGGAGAGAAAGCAGTTTACACATGATAAATCCATTCCTACATCCCAATTCTCTAAGTTATTAAATTTCTTTTCTTCCTTCATGTGATTCCAAGGCATTTCTGATCTCTACACTTCGMTTAGGGTATGATACTACTGAGTCCAGATTTTAATCAATAAACTGTTAGAAGCACTCCCAACTGCTCAAGCCAGCTCATTTAATCCTCAATCTCTGTTAAGAGAATCCATATCAAACAATTCAGTTCATTCTAAAATTATAAACTTCTCTCCTTGAGTTTGTACCACCTGAATTCATTACAACATATATTCTCCCAAATCCTTTGTTACATAAGTTGGTAAAACTATTTTTGCAATTCTCTTMTCCGTGATTTGACTTTGCACTTGGCTCCCTTGGATATGCTAGAATGTGACTCTAATTACCTAAATGAAAAAAGGAAAATTGGCATCCCTTGTCTAAATAAGTATCTCTGGTGAGGCTATCACAGGATCTTTGAGCAAGGCAGGAACGGCTTCATCTCACAGGAGTTGTTTCTGCTAATAAGAAAAACTGAATATGGAGTTTGAGAATTCAATATTGTTAAAGTTGTCTAAACTTTCCAAAGTTACCATTCCTGTTCTCAACCTTTCTTTATTGTCATCAATATTCTCATTTTCAAAAAAGAGATCTTGTATGGGTGTGAATTCCACATACAAAAGCATTTTGCAGGATCAGACCCAAATTCAATTTTTAACATGTCAGCCCTTTGACAAAAGGTAAGGAATCCCTTTAGATCAGTCATGGACACTTGCCAGATCTTTGACCATGACTGAAATGTGAACTTAAAATTYTGAATTATCGTTTCTTTCCATAAACCATCCATTACAGAAAGAGCTAGCCTAGGCTGCAGGGTATCACCCATAATTAGGGTGACTATATATCCCAGTTTTCCTGATTCCACCCACATCTATTATCTTGGAATTTTTAATGATGTTCCCTTTCACTTTCAAAAGTATCCTAGTTTGAACAATAAATTGTATTTACTTTTTTGTGACTATATCTGATCAAACAGCCATTTAAATCAGCAGTTGACACTTAAAGCAACAGCAATGGGAATCTCAATTTCATTACTTAATGCCTTGGGCTGTCAGTTTACCATTCTCTTATGCTAACAGAATTTCCACTGGTTTTAGCCAAATAGAATAATAATCAATCCTAGAGTTTCATTTTCTTGGGATTCTGTTCCCTGTAATCATCTTAGTACTAACAACTTAAATAAATCAGGATTCTTAGTTACAGACTGCAGAATCTACTCCAGATATCTAAACTGAAAGGAACTATGATCTTACAAAATTTTAAGGCAGTTTGAACCAAACCTATATTCACAGCCAATAATAATGCAGCTAAAATAAATGCTAAACATGAGACTGTTCTATTAGCAACTTCACTGTCATCATTACCCATGCTTGCTGCCTAAGGTGGGACTAGATCTATAACACAGAAGATTCCATTTCTCTGTCGATAACCCCCACCTGAGATTGTTCTCATCTGCATTCTAAGTTCTATGCAGGGCTATCTTCTTCTAGCTAAGGTATAGAATCCTAGATAGGAAAATACAACGTAATTTTACATTTATGAGCCCTTTGATACAGAAGGCATATTAGAGAGGTTTTGGTGAATTAGAGAGTGAGTCAATTTTCAGAGTCAGCCCAGAACTCAAAAGGATTAGGAGATTCATATGGAAGAAACCAGTGGTAAGAATATCAGTGGTGGCCCCAGAATTTCTACTAAGGAAGAGTTTAGAGGACACTATCTACTTGGAAGGGGAATTAGAGGACCTATCTTGAATCTGTATTTGTACAGCAAGCACATTGTCTTATTTAGCTGTGCTGCTTGTTTCAAGGGTACTCAGGAGAGTTTGTAGAGGTCTAAATCAGACAAATGAGATAAACTTTTGCACCATGACCAGATGGAAAGATAAGATATACCAAAACTATGACCCCTAAGACACAAACTGGGCTATCTGCTTTTGAATAGCAAAGTTAGTGGCAAAAAGGTCCTAAGATATGTTATTCTACTACATTGACCACAGTTTCTCCTAAATAGTCCTATGAAGGAGAGAAAAAGGCCATTTTTAAAAACAAAATTGGGACATAATTTCTGAAAATAAATTAAGATACAAAATATCTTAAATTCTGAACTTCCAGATTAATTGGGTTTATTATTTCTATTCTTACCACATCTAAATTGGCACAAGCAAGGAGGACCCAGGGAACAAGTGTGTTCCTTTATCTATGTTGCATTATGCTCATCATCCACACACACACATACCCATTTTTCCAAACCTGAAACATCCCTTCACTTTCACGGTAGGTTTGGGGCAACCGTTGTATTTATTTCTGTGGGATCTGTGGGATACTTTTTCATTGTCCCAAGTTTATCTAAGTAACCAGTGGATGTTTCAAAACCAAAAATTATGTATTTTCTTTTTTGTATTTTTTTAATCAAGTCATTCACAAGTGAAACAACACAGAAGAGAAACCACATCTTTAAGAGCCATTGTGGACATGGTGAGAAAGAGAGAGGAGAGAGGCCCATGCTTGTTAAACATAAATCTTGCAGATCTGTTGGCTCCTCAGTTCATAGCATTCAACTCCCTGGCTCCTGAGCAGTTCCTTCTCCTCTGCCAGGTCTCGAGTTTTCAACGGTGGGAAATGAGTAGGAGAGGTGATAAATTCATAGTGCCGGTCTAGATAGCGCAAGTAGATGAGCATATGAAGGGCATAGGCCAGCACCAGCAGCAGGATCAGGGACATGGCCAGGCCAATCAAAACAGCTGGAGAGAAGGAAGAGGTGCAGTCCCGGGCCTTGGCAAACTGCTGCCCTTCAGTGGTAAAGCCTTGGATCTGTCGGGAGATAAAAAAGAACTARGTGGCCTTTGCCTTATCTTCCAGGATCAACTTTCCACTTGGGCTCATGGTTCTGGAACTCTAATTAGGCAGATTTAACACACTATCACCATATTTGTTGCATAATGTAATCACATTATCTGACAAATATGATTGTGCTTACGAAGACAATGAAATTTGATTTTTACTTTAGGACTGACCCAGAAACTCTGGGATATATGGCTATCATATTTAAAGGGCTTGTGAAATTTAAACCTCTGAAATAAAACCTCTTTTAATCTGATTTTTAAGAATATTCTAGGGACTGGGTTTGCAGCTCAGTGGTAGAGCACTTGGCTAGCATGTATGAGGCACTGGGTTTGATTCTCAGCACCGCATACAAATAAATGAATAAAATAAAGGTCCATTGACATCTACAAATCATTTAAACAAAGAATATTCTAGTTCATGAAATCAATTTCCATGCATGTATGAGTTTGTCAGGATAAACCCAACAACTACTATGTATAACTATAAGAACTAATTWAAAAAAAACGAAAAAAATTGGGGAAAATAGGGGGAAAAAGAATATTCCATTTCATGGAAAACCACGACTGCTATGGTGTTTTTGAAATTCAAAACATGTTAAACTGTATGGGCGTAATTTTTCCAAAGATTTCAAGTCTGCCTTTGATTCGACTGACAGGAAGTAGACAAGAAGAGTCTTTTAAGAGAAGACATCATGACTCTTGATGAGGTAAAATAAAAATACATTTGTAGGGCTTATGGTATACCTAGTGCTGCCTTAACTTGTTTAATACTCACAAGAGCCTATGAGCAAGTTACTATTTTACTAGTACTTTATGATGAGGAAACAGGAAAATCAAGTAACTTGCTCAGAGTTCAATAATGGTAAGTGTTGTAAAGGTATACTTCAACTCCAGGCAGTCTGGTTTTAGACTCAGATTCATTTACGACTCAGTTGCTCCTGGTGTGCTCTGTCTCTTCTTCCTGTTGTCACTACCTCTCCCTCTTTTGTCAATTGTACATTTGTCCTCTCTTATTATCCACAAGGCATATGTTCAAGATCCCCAGTGGATGCCTAAAACCACAGATCATACTAAACCCTGTATAGTTGGCCCTGCATTTCCATAGGTTCTGCATTTGTGGATTCAACTAGTGCAGATCAAAAATATTTCTTTAAATTGGATGTTCATTTTTGTTCTTTTTACTTTTCCCTAAATAATACAGTATAATGACTATTTGCATAGGATTTATATTGCATTAGGTATTGTAAGTAATCTACAGGTGTTTTAAAGTGTGTAGGAGGAGATTATACACAAATACCATGCCATTTTTATATAAGGGACTTGAGAGTCTGTGAATTTTGGTATCAGGCCAGGACTATGGAATTAATCCCCATAGATAATAAGTAGATATATACTATGTTTTTTCATATATATATATATATATATATATATATATATATATATAGACCTATGATAAAGTTTGACAAATAAATTAGGAATAGTAAGATATTAGCAATAATAGCTAATAAAAGAACAACAATAATAATATACTATAATAAAAGTTGTTTAAAACTTATAAGTTACGTATTTCTGGAATTTTCCATTTAATTTTTTCAGACTGTAGCTAATTATAGGTAATTGAACCACAGAAAATGAAACCCTGGACAACTTACAGACTGTACCATACAGACTTGTTGCCATTTTTTGGAAGAACTGAATACTAGTTCCTCCTTGCATCCTGTCCAGAGAATAGGGGGGGAAAAAAAGCATTTTCATATGAGTAAATAAAGTAGTTTAATTACTTGGAACTAGGAAAGGTTCAAATTGATTACAGCCCTGCTATTTAAATACTGCTGTCAAAATGAAAGAAACAAAACTAAGGACCAACTTCTTTTAAAAAAAGAGCAATAACTGGAAAGCAGCCTGTTTGGCTGCATTATAGAGTCTAACCCTACACAACATCACCTCATTCAGTCACTTGTTTTTTAAAAGGTACATCAAAAAATGAATGATCTATGAGTGTTTCACAAAGAATTCATTTTTATGGGCATTTTAAATGGGCATTTTAGTATTTTCTCATGCCAAAATTATTATAGCCATTCATCATGCCAGAGTCTTTAGGGACCTTGTTCACCAATTGTCTGTATTCTAGACTGAACCCCAAATTGATTCTGAAGAAGTTTCCTGGCCTGACTTCAGGCATCCCCTGCCCACACCTCTGATGCATAGTGGCCTTATTCTCAGAACAGTGCCTGA